GTGTGTGTGTGTGTGTGTGTGTGTGTGTGTGTGTGTGTGTGTGTGTGGGTGTGTGTGTGTTGTGTGTGTGGGTGTGTGTGTGTGAGTGAGTGAGTGTGTGTATGAATATAAGTGTGCATAGTGAGGCTCAGGAAATAATACTTAAAAGATTTTCGGTTTCATCATAATTCATTTTCGACAGCCAATCAATTATCAATTTTTTGCACTTATACATATTTAGCGGATAAATTTTATTTATTGCATTGCACTTATTGTACAAGTACGGGCCCAAAAAGATAAAAAATCTGTTTACAAATTTGGATTTAGTTTGAGTGCGGGGGCATACTATGTCATGTCTTCTTTTGTTTTTGGTAAAGTCGGAGTTATAGGTCAACATAGAATGTTTCTTCAGAATGGTTTGGAGGACGAACAACTGACGCACAGTTAGGACTTTAAAATGTTTATAAAGCTCAAACGTAGGGAACTGGTAAGGGCGAAATGTGGCAACTTTTAATAGTGCACGTTGTGCCACTTCTAATTTTTTCATGGTAGTTCTATGTGCACCACCCCATGTGGTGATACAGTATATTAAAATTGACTGGCACAACGCGTAATATACCATTTTTAAGATTGTAGGGTCAGCAATATGTCTTAGGGTTTTAAAAACAAATATTAATTTTCTAATGCGAGTAGATAACAGTTTAATATGAGATTTAAAATTCAGGTTCTGATCAAGAGTCAAGCCTAGATATTTAATGGTAGGAACATTTTCAAGACAGGGACATGTGCAGCCAGCAATAGGATAGGACGGACATACATGGGCAGTAAGATTGAAGTTATGTTGCATGGTATTACTAATACAAAACAACATGTACTTTGTTTTCTCCGCATTTAACGTCAAGAGATTATGCCCTAACCAGTCTTGTATTGTATTGAGGCCTTTCTGAGCATATAGAAACACTTCCTGTAAAGATTCAGCTTCAAAAATAAGTGCAGTGTCATCGGCGAAAGACACTATTTTACCATTGTTGAGTTGTAAATTACACATATCATTAATGAAAACCAGGAAGAGAGAGGGACCCAAAATACTCCCTTGTGGTACGCCGTAGTGTAAAGGAAGTTCAGTACTACAAATATTATCAATTTGAACATACTGACTACGGTTGGTTAGGTAACTTTGGAAAAGACCAAGTTGCAATCCTCTTACACCCATCCGTTCTAATTTTTCCAATAGCAGAGGAATCGAGACTGTGTCGAAAGCCTTGGCGAGATCAAGAAATATCGACAAACATTTTCTACCACCATCCAAGTTAGTAATTATAAAATCAGTAAGGTCATGGACAGCATCAGCGGTAGATTTGTTTGCCCGAAAGCCATACTGTCTAGGTGAGAGGAGATTGTTACCCTCAAGGTATTTCATCAATCTAATATTCATGATGCGTTCCATGATTTTTGATAAACTGGGCAGTATAGAAATCGGACGGTAATTTGAAATATGATCTCGACTTCCTGCCTTAAATATAGGTTTTATAATTGCTCTTTTAAAAGAATTTGGAAAAATACCTGTAGATAAGCTCAATTTACAAATATGTGTAATAGCAGGTACTAAAATGGTCTTATACTGTTTGATGATCTTGGAAGAGATGCCGTCCCAACCCATTGTACATTTATTTTTTAAAGACATTATTATTTTTTCAACTTCAGCTTCATCAGTGTTAAACATTACAAAAGACTGGGGTACGGATGAGGAACTGGAGCTAGAAATATTGCGGTTGATATTATTATGTTTTATTTTTTCCGCTAAAGTTTTGCCAATATTCGCGAAGTATTCATTTACTCTATTAACAGATATGGAGGGAACATTATCTATCAAACTGCTGGCCGAGTCTTTCGATTTAATCATATTAGTATTTGATTTTATAATTTGCCACAGTTTTCTACCATTAGAACAGGCTTCCTGTATTTCCTTTCTTTGATACTCGCGTTTAACCTTTTTTAAGA